TTCCAGTAGAATTTCTACAGTGAGGGTTATCGGGTTTCAATCTAACATATTAAACGCAGCTGGAAATATATTGGTAAGACAATTAGACTGTATGTAACTCTCCATACATACAATGTTACGTGTGGATACGAATGATAAAAGGCCCTGAAGAGAGAGAAGAACATATTCGCATACAAAAACTCACATCACAATGGCGAAATCAGTATCTCCATATTTTTCTGTATCAACAGAGAGCGTTGTCGTTGACTCAAACATCAGAATTGTCAAGGTGAAACACACAATGCTAGAATCTCCACACCAGATCTGCTAACATTTTGTCAGACAAAGAACGTAACAGCCTTTTTGTTTCCTTTTGAGTACGTTTCTGTTCCATTCTCCCGCGTGAAACCTTTAGGATCGCGAAGATCTATAAGCTCCACCATTTCTGCTGTCACTTTCACTCCGGTGTTGTTCCTAGAGGTTCGACCACGTTGTCCTACGTCGCTGACGTTAGGGAAGAGTCTACCAGGTGATCTGGCGCTCCTTGGTGTCGAACCTGGACTTGGGAAGGTGACAGGTTTGGAAATAGGTAGTCGCCGCGGATCTGAGAGTCTGGGCGTGTCTGGTATTGTTGACAGAGACATCATTAGCGATTCCATTGCACCAATGTTAATACCTTCTGATCTGGATCCACCTCGTGGAGATGGGAGCTTTAGATCATCTCTTGGAGTCTGTAACCCGTCTGATTCCATACCCACTTGAGAACGATGAGAGTCCAGCTGTTCTCCACTGATGTGAGAACGATGAGAGTCGAGCTGTTCCCCACTCATGTAAGAGCGATGAGAGTCCATCTGATCCCCACTCGTGTGAGAACGGTGAGAGTCCAGCTGTTCCCCTCTCATGTGAGAGCGATGAGAGTCCATCTGATCTCCACTCATATGAGAGTCCACATGATCTACATCCAGGTCATCTCTGTCAGGGTGTTCTGGTATAATTGAGCCTCTTGAACGAACATAATGAGGGACGGAGTTCGCAGACGACACCACCCTTTGAGTTGGTATTGGTACTGTGCCTTTCGGCTGACTAGACGGGTGATAGCTGAGAGATTTTTTGAATTTCCTGAGTTTTTCAAGATATCTGGTCTGCAACTGACGTAACTCTGAGGCTGCCAATTTCTGCCATCGTTCGTACGCCCGTACTTCCTTTTCGCACTGTTTACGTAGATCCTCATGGCGTCGAAGAACCCTAGCACTACGGGTATTCCTTCGCATTGATTCAAAGCGAGCGTCATGATTTGTGTCAGAAAATATGTTGGATAGTTTCACCTGACCATGATCCACTCGGTTCCGATTGTTCGTCATATTTAACCTGCGGCTCAAAACATGTACACATACACCCAAAGTATTCTGAGTTTGCTGACAATAGACCTCTGCTTCAACATGACTTTTCGGTTAATGTTATAGGAATGTCGATCGTTCTTGCCTTGTTCTCCCATTTAGTAATCAATAGATATCCCAGTCTCTAGCAACAATGCAAATGGTCTCTCCCAGAACACACGCTGCAAAGAAGTCACAAACTTATCAGTCCATCAACCTCACAGTAACATTTAAGACCATCGACCCTCCTTCAGCGAGCGTGTCATACAGTTAAAACATTAATCGTCTCCGTGACCGCATGTCGATATGTTCGTGACTATCTCTGTGATCATTCACCTCCGTTCAGCCAGTTCTAGATCTTAATACCATAATCTGTAATCCACCAACACTAAGCACTAAGCCTCAATGCTAACCCAAGCTTTTCTTTTCTTTTCCGCATATGTGTCAATCGTGGCCAGGGATTAATCGCATGACTGCTCTTGTCGTATTCTGTATCACTACTGATCCCATGGTGGCCAAGGTGAAGCTCTCCGAAGCTTGTACTCGACAAGAGTGGGGGCGAATTCTGGGGGCGAATTCATTGATTTTTAGATCAATATGGAAATGTAAGTGGTTTGAGGAGATGCATCCTCGTTTGGAACGTTTGGTTACCCATGTAACCCCTTCAACAAGCCATGCAAGTCAATCACACTGTAATACCATTACTCAAATATACGTCGTTAATACAAAGTCTTGACCTTGTCTATGTTTTACGAACAATCCTATCCAGCTTCCCTCGGTTCACAGACCAAATCTGTCGACAAAGAGAATGTTTGCTTTCTCTTTACATGGTTCCTTTCAGACGTGAAGCCTACGATTGGGCTGTCACAATGCATTAATATTGGTTCAGTGATCGCCTGTATGACTTAGCAAGGTGATTTGGCTTATAAATCTTTCTACAGGCAGTTATAAATCTCGGTATTATTGAAATACCACTTTTTAATGCGTTCATGTTATGAGATTGTTAATCAAGTGTAACTTGTTGTACCACTGGACAAATACGGTGTTATAGATTATGAGATGGCTGGAAGGTATGGTAAAGGATTGGGCTCTTTTTATTCTTGGCATCTGATGCGTAAATGAAAACCATAGAGTGTGCCAGCAAATGGCAAACAACAGTAACTGTAAGATTTCACTCCGCTATTATAAAGAATGTGTTTATGTTACCTCCACTGACTCCTACCAAACTTAAATTGTAATGTATTAGCACCTTGTTCAGTGATTGGTGGAATCAGCAAGCCATTATCATGTCCACCGTGTCTCCGGACGTACTTCTGTTACGCAAGAGGACGGTCTCTATTGCCAGACAAATGGAATGAATAATTGTAGGAATAAACAGAGCCTGCTTGTCACAGAGACGGAACATGTCAGCTAGAGTTTCTTGATAACGCAATCTTGATTACCTTTCTAACTAATTAGACATTGATCAATGAATCAGCGTGTTATATGTGTGGGCAAAGACTCTTTCTGGTCCTGATGACTGCTACATAATGTGTGTGTGTGTGTGTGTGTGTGTGTGTGAGAGAGAGAGAGAGAGAGAGAGAGAGAGAGAGAGAGAGAGAACGAGAGAGAGAGAGAGAGAGAGAGAGAGAGAGATGGTGGGAGAGAGAGAGGGAAAGAGAGAGCGCTAATGAGGACAAACCATTTTGAAGGGTTTTCAACACAGTGGATGCACTCTATTGGTGACATATTGCAGCAGTTCGGTTATGAAGAAGAAACACTATGTAGGATTTAAAAAATCGGTGAAGATTCTTGAAAACAATCATTACGTTTCAGATTGTTGTAAAACTGTATGCCACAAGAAGTGTTCCATTTATCCAATGGCTTGTAGTTTTGTTGAAAAGCGCAATCAAAGATTTTCATGAACAATGCCTGGCGTTGCAGATGTAACTTGCAAACATGTATACTCCATGCACAATCCAAAAACAAACAACGCCAATATACAGACTCGATTAAGAACGACGTCATAGGGGTGGCAAATTGTTGAATACGGCAACATCAACAACAACATCAACAACAACAACAAACACGTAAAGATCATGGCGTCACAGTGACAGCCTGACATGCAGTGATATACCTACAACACGTACTATTCACAGCGGCATACAGTAAAACGCTCACCACGCTGCTGTTATCAGTCATTTCAACATGCAAGTCTTGCTAAATCGCTCTGTATAAAGAATCGGTGTACTGGTTGAGCATAACCTCTGAACTCTTCCTGTCGGCTCGCCTCGGCTCGTTGCACGTGCAAAATGATCGATCGACCGTTTGACACCAAATGCTTATAGGTTATCAAAGTGGGTGCTTGAAGAATCAGTGGCAAAATATAACATATAAAACAATGCTAATGTGTATCCTTTAGAGTACGGAAGGCACACATAATAATATGAGTGAGTATGGTTTTACGCCGCTCTTTGTAATATTCCAGCAATATCGTTACGGGGAACACCAGAATTGGCTTCAAACATTGTACCCATGTGGGGAATCGAAACCGGGTCTTCTGCGTGAAGTGCGAACTGTTTAACCATAAGGCCACCCCACCGCCCCAATAATTATATGTAAACCACTTCATCAGAATATTACCCACAACCATACTCAATAACTGAAAATACGAAACGCGACTCTCTGTTCACTGATATACATGTATATATAAACGTAATGTCATTTGTTTAGATAGATATTTTTCTGCTGATTTGTAGCTACAGGTTTGCATGGTTCCTGTGATTTTAATCCCATTGTAACCAGCCAGTGGTGCATGAAGGCCCCCTTGCTATTATGTTTTTACGCGCCTTAGGGAGTCGACTTTACGGTAATGAACTATGTGGTGTATATGGAATACTGTAAGGGACATTCTCGCGATCTCGCCATACATAGATGTCAACCAAACTGAAATAAATCAGATAGGTCACAGCATAGTGTGTTATTTTAAAATCAGCTTTGATATTAGGGTACACCTATGGAATACTGTAAGGGACATTCTCGCGATCTCGCATTCTCGCGATCTCGACCTTTCGAAACAAGCTAAAAATGCCAAAAGTGCGAGAATGCGAGATCGCGAGAACGCGAGATTTGGCCAAAATCTCGCGTTCTCGCGATCTCGCATTCTCGTGTTTTTGGTACATAGCACTTTTTGTCAAAAGTCGAGATCGCGAGAATGCGACATTTGTACATGCTGTCAAATCTCGCATTCTCGCTATCTCGACTTGTCAAATATGTCCACAAATATACGAAATCGCGAGAATGCGACATTGCATTTTCTCGCGTTCTCGCGATCTCGCGATCTCGCGTTTTAGACGGTGTCGTTGCGCATGCGTAATATCATAAGGTCAAGGCGCATGCGCATCTTAGTAGTGCTGTGGTCATGCTTCTTTCATGCTTTTCATTTCCCAAGTAGCATTTAGCAAAATTATGACATAGCTTAAAAATGCTATGTAATTTACATACACTATGTGTAGGGTAGTGTATATAAGTACGCTCCCGTTGTTACAATTTCCTATGTACTTAAAAATCCTCAACGTGTTAAATATAACGAAATTGTGAATATGAATGTCCAATAAAAGTGAAAACATGAAAGTGTCCGGAAGCTGGAAATATATTAACGTCAGTGAGTGATAAAATAGTGCTTAAAGCCGCATCAATTCGCAGCTACACCGTCAGTTATACAAACAATCACAGACCAGTGGGTTACTCCATGATGCAATATCATATACGGCTAGCATATTCATTCAAACAAAATTCAAACAGACCAATTTGTAGCAGTCGGCTAAAATGAGCATGTCTGATGTTTTACTCGACACCATATTCGCCACTTTAATAGATTTTCTTCCGCTCCCGCCTGACTACAAAACATCCTGCTTTATACTATTCTTTTGTCTTCAATTTCCATAAAATAGAAATACATTTGTATAGCTAATAGTTGTGTTCCTGTGGCAGCCATGATATAGCGGAGTTCCAATGTGTTATTAACCACAGACTACGGGTTACGAGTGAGATACCTGTTTATTTTCATATCGTGGTGGAAGAAGACACCCTGTAATAACAATACTATTTTTGTACACAACAAACATAGCATAAAATCACATCCAATGAACATGTTATCATAATAAATATAGTGCATAAATGTGCCTATCAAAAATCATATACAGGTATTACGCGTCGCAATATCACACAGGTGACTTACGTGATCACGTGTTTACAGTGATATACAAAATGAGTGTTGACATAAAGACTTATAATAATACATAGTATAATGATTAAATATACTGTAGATACTGTACAAAGAAACCTATCCTGTGGGTTACACGAGAATGTGTCTGCACATTCAGCAGGCGCACAGTCAACGCATGCAATAATCCCATATAAGAACCACACACTGATCAAATGTAACCTTTGTCAAGTACATACAATATACATGGTAGATGAGATGTATCAATCTTACATGATACAGAAAATAGTTACCAAACAACAACTACTAGCCAACATATTGACTGGACATATAAAAAACTACCATAAGCACATTCATACACGTTAAATGGTATATTGTGTAATGATTTTGTTATCATGGGCATATTTATACCTATTTTGTGTAATGATTAATATTAGGATTTAATTTACTATGTATGTACAATTATAATGTATAATAACTAACCTTTGATTCTGACCAAACTGTCACACAGAACTGTACATGAAACACAAAGACACCCGTGAAGGTCCGGGTTAGAATGTATCTTCAGGAACTCATGTTTGTCGTAAGAGGCGACTAACGGGATCGGGTGGTCAGGCTCGCTGACTTGGTTTACACATATCATTGGTTCCCAATCGCGCAGATCGATGCTCATGATGTTGATCACTGGATTGTCTGGTCCACACTCGATTATTTACATACCGCCGCCATATAAACTAAACTCAATAACTCACTCACAGAAACACAAGGACAAGAGACAGCTAAACTGACAACTAATTGCAGCTTAAATGCATAAAGAAGTCGTCGTCTGCGAGACCACTATATCCTGATAATGATGATTAGTTATTCATTTACGTACACAATATACAACTACTTAATTCACCCCTGTTACATTCCTACTTTCTTTACTTGATGAAATACTCCACAAACGTAGCCCTACTGAACATGCATGATGCATGTGAATCGAATCCTTCTACAGTAAATGTACACGGGTGCCTTAAAAAGTTCGATTAGACAAAAAATAAATGCAAATCAACATACTTCCCGCCTCTCATGTTGTTTTAGAAATTAATCTTGCAGTTATGTCACGGATTATCAGTTCGATGTAGTATGAAACCCACCAGCATAAGTTTCTGGCACGCTCAAGGGACGCAACTCCATTGCCACGACTGAACTACCCGTGATCACAGTTCAAGATGACTGTATAGGTAATTGGCAGAAAAACGCGAGATCGCAAGATCGCGAGATTTGTCAAATGTCGCAATCTCGCGTTCTCGCGTTCTCGTGTTTTTGAATATTGTTACATAGAACTGTATGGGCAATTGGCACAAAATCACGAGAACGCGAGATTGCGAGATCGCAACATTTGTCAAATGTCGCAATCTCGCGTTCTCGTGTTTTTGAAAATCGTTACATAGAACTATATGGGTAATTGGCACAAAAGCACGAGAACGCGAGAACGCGAGATCGCGAGATTTGTCAAATGTCGCAATCTCGCGTTCTCGTGTTTTTAAAAATCGTAATATAGAACTGTATGGGCAATTGGCACAAAAGCACGAGAACGCGAGAACGCGAGATCGCGAGATTAGTCAAATGTCGCAATTTCGCAATCTCGCGTTCTCGTGTTTTTGAAAATCGTAACATAGAACTGTATGGGCAATTGGCACAAAAGCACGAGAACGCGAGAACGCGAGATCGCGAGATCGCGAGATTTGTCAAATGTCGCAATCTCGCGTTCTCGTGTTTTGAAAATCGTTACATAGAACTGTATGGGTAATTGGCACAAAAGCACGAGAACGCGAGATCGCGAGATTTGTCAAATGTCGCAATCTCGCGATCTCGCGTTCTCGTGCTTTTGTGCCAATTGCCCATGCAGTTCCATGCAACGATTTTTAAAGGGCACTGAGCCAGAGCGATTAATGTTTCTCGCCAACAGTCGTATTTCAAATCCTAGCTGCAAGCTGGTCAGTACCTGCTCCCTCGACCGTGACAGGCACTGGGCTACTGTCCACAATTTCTTCAACATAAACAGTGGGACATTAGGAAGGGCGGATGCAAATCAGATGCCGTTATTTGAAAATTTACCCTGTAGTTTTTCGGATTTTCTAATGCCTGGATTTAATCATGTCATGTGAAAATAGGAAGTCTATTACCCGTGTATGAAATAATGCACGTCCGACCGCCCGAGACGGGCTAGATTTCTAACGGACGGTCTAGATTTACAGCTAGCCAGCCCGATTATCTGGTAAAACTTTAACATGTTCCATACATATTTTGGTGTCTGGTCTGGTTAAATCCATTTTGGGCTGGTAACATTTTGAAGTTACCAGCCCTGATGTCTGGCTTGGTTAGGGGCTTATTTCATACACTGTCAGTATCACCTATGGTATTAAAAACACACTATTTTGTACTTGGGTATACTACGATCGAAACGAAGCAACCGGATACCGAACCCAGTCAGAGCGGGTGGGTGTGCACTCAAGTATAGTGAGAAAGTGAGTGAGTTAAAATGTAAAGTCACTTTGACAATATTTCAGCCATATCGTGACTAAATCAAGTTATACATTAATATAAATGAAAGGTAAATTATAAAAACCCGTCTACGAAGGACAGTAACACAACTAGATTATCACAGTTAGAAATTTAAAACTGTAACTAAATATAAAACATTTTAACTATACATGACAATACAATATAAAACAGGCTATAGATTGCCAACAACTGAAGGTAGATCACCATACTGGGGACCATTGGGACTTACAATACATTTGCTTCCTGCATGCACCCTATAGCTGGATGTACATCTTCCCTTCAGTTGTTAGCAATTTACACACATCTAGCCATACATTAAAAATACACATATTCTACGATTACAAAATGGGGAGTTTAAATTTACTTTGAATGTTTTGGGACTTACGTACCCTCTCAGGAGGACAATCAGTTTACAGTATTTTAACCGGTGTCGGCACGGGAAAGCGAAATTTCAATATTCCCTATTCCCGGTAAAGCGAAAGCCAAAGTTGTGCTAGAAGTGCCGCCAAAGCGAATTGCTATGAAAACATCGGATTACCGTACTTCAGATTAGCGCGCGACCCCAATAGTCGTTCTGTGAGCCTCTTAGATGAGATGAAGTTTCAGTTGTTTCAAGTTTCAGACCCTACTTATCTATAGTTTTATTAACTCATGTAACGAATTAGTATCATTGTTAAACGAACCTTACAATTACATGGCCGAATTTGTCAAAGTTTCGTCAACCTTTTTCAAGTAAAATATCTTCTCTTAAAATGTATCCAAGTTAATTTTAAGATTGTTTGTAAAGACTTTAATTGATGTATCATTTAGTCTTCTTGTTGTATTTTTTGTATGTACTCCTTTGTTATACTCATGTACCACCGGTATCTGTTTTCACGCGTGAGCGGGGATCTCATTGTTAACTACCTGAGGGAAGTTGATCTGTATCATAAATTGTAACTATGTAATGCGAATAACGAATTGAGTGCCTTTAAATTAATTGCTATGACATTTTCTGTTTTTAAATAACAATGTCATTGATAAATATGTTTTTAAAGTAAACTCATTTGGACTTTGTACTTAAAATGTTTATGAATGCAGACTTGATTTCGTCACTAAATGGCTGGAATAATGCCGATGTGACGTAAAGCATAAAAAGACGTGTTTATTATCCCCTCAAAGGCTAGAAATCGCAACATTCCTCTCGATTGTTTGTTTAAATGTTTTGACTGCATGATCCTACCAATCATGTTATATGGTTGCGAAGTGTGGGGACATTCAAATATAGACATTTTAGAAAATGTTCACAGGTTATTCATGAAGTCTGTCCTGAAACTATGCAAGAGTACATCATTCTAAATGCTCCACGAAGAAACTTGACGAATTCTTATCTCTGTATATATTAACAAGTGAATGATTTCAGTTTGTTTTAAACTTGCTACTAATGTACATCAAAATAAAATGTCAGTCATAATTCACTATGTTTTATCACACAAGCTTGAAAATAATATGTATGCTTCACCATGGCTTGCTAATGTTAAACGTATTTATTTATTTATTAAATTTCTACCATGACTACGGTATCAGACGACTACTCACATTTCTTTGTTTTTCATGTGTATTGAGAGTCCCGGGAATGCTAAATTCAGTGTTCACTGTAGCTTGACCGTTCCCGCGAAAGCGACACCTAAATGAGGAGGTTTGATCCAGATTTCGCTTTCCCGGGCCATAACCCTTTAACCCCCCTTGAGGATGCACTCAAGTCTAACGAAGTCTTTCATTGGCTGGCTCATTTGCCCATACGCTCAGTCGGCTCTTTGTTTATGGCATATAAGCCCGATAGGTGTTAAGTTCAAATTGCATGTGGTCAATGATTGAAGTTGTGTATTGCATATTGTTATTAGTAGACAGGCAGGCAGACAAGCAGACATAACAGACATTTAGTTTTGTCTGTGACAATCAACATGGTGTTTCTTGTTTTATGTTGCTTTTTTATGTAACTAGTAGATTATTTACTTGTTTGTGTACACAACCAAGATTAGACTACTCCTGCTCACGACCTTATTATCCGGGAATGCGAACCTATTCACTGCGCATGCCTTATGAGCGCAGCGCAGCATAGCTGTTGAAACCAATTTTCACCCCAGCTCTGCGGTGACATTAGTGAATCGTTTGGGGTTTTTTTTAATCGCGTTATTTTTCAACTTTATAAGTTGAATTTGCATTTTGATGCATTGCAGTTTCTGTAAGTCCATACCGAAAGGTATCAGAATCTGCAATGTTGTGTTTTGCGTTGCATGTGACCAGCAAATGCTTATATGTATTTCTTATGCAGCAATGAAGTTCCGTTCGTATCCTCAAAACAGTGTTGGCCATAAGTTTAAAACAGCCACTGCTACTCCCCAGCTGTAACTCGTGTTTGGTGGTATAAAACATACACATGTTCTTTGTCATCATTCACTTCATGATCAGTTATATTAATGAATTAATAACAGATATCATTAGTGGTAACACCACTTAGATTACCCGACAAATGTTCCCAGTCGGCATTTCTCGTGTCTGGAGTAAATACTCAACATTAGAAATGAAGGTCTGATGCGACAAATGTATTACATGTTATGTAATATGCCCATGGAAGTGCAGGAAGAGGAATTATCACCTGAATTATAAAAACAAACATCGATCAAAGGATTAACCGACAATACGCTGATTGATTGATTACTTTTATCTTGCACAGCGGATTTGTCAAAAGCTAGTGTTTATGTAATGCTGCGCTTACACTAGGCCACGATTAGGCCATTATGGGGTGCTAGTCTTCCCGGGAAGTAGAATTTGGTTCTTACAGTATAGTCTCCTTGATGTTGTGCCGGTGTTGTTATAAGGGATTAAGTCACTGGGGTGCTGTGAATTCTGAACTATGTTGTGGAATATGATTTCAATTTGAGTACTCACTGAGATTATAATGGTAATGATTAATGTGTTCACTCAATCAGAGTCATTCAGTACATACATGTCTTACATATTGTATAAATACCATCAAGTTACAATAGCTAGTATCATGGACAGTTAAGAGTTCAATTACAAGTTCCTTCCTACTTCACGTGGTGGTAGGTACTTGTGTGCTAAAGGATACACGTACAGAGTGAACAAGGGGATAAAATAGAATTCTTGTTGGAGGAGCAAAACATTAATGAACTGAACATGCTACAATACAGTGCTGGCCAGAGACTCCCCCAAAAGTAAAAGAAAGATCAAGACCTCCAAAGAGAACTGTCCACCCTGAAACACACACTTGAGGTTGGCAACATAAATATGTTGTATTAATTAGATAGGGTGTTTCATGGAATGAAACGTGCTTAAAATAATGTCATTTGTGTAAAATGAATTGTGACTTTATAGTTATATTGAAAAGTAATTACTTAACTATGTCAGAATTGAATTGTACATATAATAGAATAGGTATTTGTAATTAAATCTTTGAAGGGCATTTCATCAGGTGAAGGGGCAAGCATACGCTCCGAAATGTCGTGTTAGTCGCAATAAAGAAGTTGACATCCGTAAATCTTGCCTTTCTTATATTTGTTATTGGTAATGTCTGGTGCAATATTTGATATATTGATATTTCACATGATATGTTTTTATCTTGTGATTAATAATGGTGACACAAAATAAATTATGTCATGAAATGTCAAATATCAGTTTAGACTTGTTTCATTTCTTGACCACTTCAACTTTTCTTATCAACCATGTGCCTGTGAAAATATAGAATAGCCATTGTACGACTTGAAGGTAATCAACTGGATGTCAACTTCTTTATTGTGACTGACACTACGTTTCGGAGCGTATGCTTGATCCTTCACCTGATGAAATGCCTTCAAAGATTAAATATTTGCCACGATTATCAAGATACCTCACGATCATGGACATCTCTCGCGATCACCACGATTTGCATCTGCGATCTCTCACGCTTTATGAGATAATCTATACTGAATACACCCTGTCTTAAAGTGCTTGTGTAAAAACAACGTCCTTCCTTCAAAGGATTAACCGCCAATAAGTTGACTGATTGCTCATTACTGGCTAAGTAAATGTTTTTAAAAAACGAATGGCGGACATCATGCAATTAGTTGCCAGGTGTTCTATCTTGGGTGACCAATGAGACTATACACCAATGTGAAAAACCTGAAACGATATATCGCTTTTTCGCATATAACACTGTTAAAAGATACATGACATGGAACAGGATTTTTTGTCAGCTGCAGATGAATGGCATATCTACCCTTGATGTGGATATTGATAGAACATGGTAATAACCTGGCATTGTTGCTGTACTTTTAGTCTATTTTAAGTTAAATGTTTGATATTACAGTCATGTTATATATTCACTATAAGTATAAGCTGATCGTGCCCTTCTTATTAAGTTTCAAAATGCATAAAAATTTGATAATAAACTAATTAGGATTATAAAACAAAATATAAAAACGTACATTGACTTCGTTATTTTGAGTCCTAACATTTTACTGCTGGCAGATGGTTAAACTTCAAATGTTTTTATTTCTTATCATCATAATGAAGATGGAAATATTATCAAGTAAAAAAGATTTCATCTTTGTTAATCAGTCTATACGTATACCATCAATTGGGCATGCGGGTTGCGCAACAGATACAGTTCTATGTAAGGATTTTCAAAAACACGAGAACGCGAGAACGCGATTGCGACACTTGACAAATCTCGCGATCTTGCGATCTCGCGTTCTCGCGCTTTGGTGCCAGTTGCCCATACAGTTCTATGTAACGATTTTCAAAACACGAGAACGCGAGAACGCGAGATTGCGACATTTGACAAATCTCGCGATCTCGCGTTCTCGCGTTTTTCTGCCAATTGCCCATACAGTTCTTTGTAACGATTTTCAAAAACACGAGAACGCGAGAACGCGAAAACGCGAGATTGCGACACTTGACAAATCTCGCGATCTCGCGTTTTTCTGCCAATTGCCCATACAGTTCTATGTAACGATTTTCAAAAACACGAGAACGCGAGATCGCGAGATCGCGACATTTGACAAATCTCTCGCGATCTCGCGTTCTCATCTTTTGTGTCAATTACGTTCTCGCGTTCTCGTGCTTTCGTGCCAATTACCCATACAGTTCTATGTAACGATTTTCAAAAACACGAGAACGCGAGAACGCGAGATTGCGACATTTGACAAATCTCGCGATCTCGCGTTCTCGTGTTCTCGTGCTTTGCGAGCCTTGACAAATCTGCATATTACCTTTACAGTCATATTGAACCGGGATGACGGGTAGCTCAGTCGTCTGAGGCGTGGCAATGGAGTTGCGTCCCTTGAGCGTGCCAGAAACCTATGTTGGTGGGTTTCATCCTGTATCGAACTTACAAGCCATGACATAACTGAAAGATAAATACAGTTGAAAGGCGTGTTAAGCCAAACTCACTCATTTATTCAGAGCAATGCACGTACCCCGGGTTGTGAATGGGGTTTATTTCCAATATTAGCATGCCGAGCTTCTGAAGCTAAGGCCGCAATAAATTTAAACACAAAGTTTGATTAATTTCTATAAAAACATGGGAGACGGGAAGAATATTAATTTACATTTTATTTTTACTTTGTACAACTACTGTCGAAGGATTCGATTCACATGTATCATGCATGTTCAGTAGGGCTGCGTTTGCGGAGTATTTCATCAAATAAAGAAAGTAGGAATGTAACAGGGATGAATTATTATATTATTAATATCATAGGATAATTATATTTATATAGCGCACCTATCCACGCAATATCAATTTCAACCCACTTGGGAGTATACAACTCTTACTGCGTCTAGGCGCACCGAGTTTATTGTGACTTTCTCATCCTAACGAGGTACCCATTTCCAGCTGTGTGGACAGGGACACATAGTTCACAGCACCTTGATGTACCCGCAACTAGGTGTTTGCACGTATTCATGTGGCCACCATATGGTCATATACCAATGGATTTGTGGGTTCTTTTAAGTGCACGGGGTTGTGTACTGTACACTAGGGGTTGTGACAGCACAGAAAGAGTCTGCACACAAAGTTGACTGCAAGGTTTTTACACCCGGTCACAGATGGGCTCGATCCCGACACCTCAACCTCGCTAGATCACTAGCCGGCGCTTTAGCCAGTTGTTTCACATGTGTTTCACTGAGTGAGTGAGTTTAGTTTTACGCCGCTCTCAGGTACATGGCGGCGGTCTGCAAATAATCCATTCTGTACAAGACAATCCAGTGATCAACATCAATCTGCGCCATTGGGAACAGATGACATGTGTCAACGAGCCTGACCACCCGATCCCGTTCGTGGCCTCCTACGACAAGCATGGGTTGCTGAAGATACATTCGCACCCGGACCTTCATGTATGTCTTTGTGTTTCATGTACAGTTCTGTGTCACAATTTGGTCAGAATTAAAGGTTAGTTATTATACATTTTAATTGTTACATACATAGTAAATTAAACCCTAACATTAATCATTACACAAAATAGGTATAAATATGCCCATGATAAACAAAATAAAAGTGAATACACAGTATACTTTTTAACTTGTATGAATGTGCTCATGGTTTGCTTTCTATATGTCTAGTGAATATCTAGTGCTGGCTAGTAGTTGTTGTTTGGTAACTATTTTCTGTATCATGTAAGATTGATATATCTCATCTACCATGTACATTGTATGTACTTGACAAAGATTGCATGTGATCAATGTGTGGTACCTATATGGGATTATTGCATGCGTTGACTGTCCGGCTGCTGGATGTGCAGACACACTCTCGGGTAACCCACAGGATAGGTTTCTTTGAACAGTATCTATTGTATATTTTATTATTATACCATGTATTATTATAAGTGTTTATGCCAACACTCATTTGGTATATCACTGTAAACATGTGATCACGTAAGTAACCTGTGTGATATTGCATCGCATAATACCTGTATATGATTGTTGATAGGCACATTTATGCACTATATTTATTATGATGACATGTTCTTCATATGTGATTTTATGTTGTGTATATCGTGTATATTATTGTTATTACAGGGTGTCTTCTTCCACAAAGATATGAAAATTAAGAGATATCTCACTCATAGCCAGTAGTCTGTGGTTAATAACACATTGAAACTCCACTATATCATGTCTGCCAGAGAAACACAAATATTATTGGTACAAATGCATTTTTATTTTTTTTCATGTAAGAGAGGGTGTTTTGTATAGAGGCGGGAGCGGAAGAAAATCTATTAATTAATATGTTATGGCCTAAACTAGCGAATATAATGTCGAGTACGAAAAAATCATCAGACATGTTCATTTTAGCCGACTGCTACAAATTGGTCTGTTAGAATTTTGTTTGAATGAATATGCTAGCCGTATATGATATTGCATCATGGAGAAAGTCACTGGTCTGTGATTATTTGTATATCTGACGGTATAGCTGCGAAATGATGCGGCTTTAAGCACTATTTTATCACTCACTGACGTTGATATTTTTTTCCAGCTTCCGGACACTTTCATGTTTTCACTTTTATTGGACAGTCATATTCACAATTTCGTTTCTTAAATAAAATTTTACATGTTGAGGATTTTTAAGGACATAGGAAATTGTAACAACGGGAACGGACTTATATACTCTACCCTACACATCCTGTATGTAAATTACATGGTAGCATTTTCAAGCGGGCGGTGGGGTAGCCTAGTGGTTAAAGCGTTGGCTCGTCACGCCGAAGACCCGGGTTCGAATCCCCACATGGGTACAATTTGTGAAGCCCATTTCTGGTGTCCCCCGCCGTGATGTAGCTGGAATATTGCTTAAAGCGGAGTAAAGCCAAATTCAGTCAGTCAGTCATTTTCAAGCTATGTGATAATTTTGCTAAATGCTAGTTGGGAAGTGAAAAGCATGAAAGAAGCATGACCACAGCAGTACTTAGATACGCATGCGCCTTGACCTTATGATATTACGCATGCGCAACGACAGCGTCTGAAACGCGAGATCGCGAGATCGCGAGACCGCGAGAAAATGCAATGTCGCATTCTCGCGTTCTCGCGATTTCGTGTTTTTATGGCCATATCTGGCAAGTCGAGATAGCGAGAATGCGAGATTTGACAGCATGTACAAATCTCGCAATCTCGCGATCTCGACTTTTGACAAAAAGTGCTATGTACCAAAAACACGAGAATGCGAGATCGCGAGAACGCGAGATTTTGGCCAAATCTCGCGATCTCGCGATCTCGCATTCTCGCACTTTTGGCATTTTTATCTTGTTTCGAAAGGTCGAGATCGCGAGAATGCGAGATCGCGAGAATGTCCCTTACATTATTCCATATCTATGTATTACATCGAAATGATGTCATGATGAGGTTCACCATTGTCATTATGGAGACTCAATGTCCAGAGTTGCTCGCATTTCCTGCATCTTTTCATCCTCGTGCTTGGCACTCAAACTTCTCCGGTGGAGATGTCTCGAGTTCCTCGTGGAGAGACGACAAATCTGTTGAAGATACAAATACTACTCAGCTGTTGTAAGCTCGAATATGATTCTATGAAGCTGAATTTACTTTAACCAGTCGAACCTGAAAGGTAGCTTGCGAGTGAGTAAGTATGGTTTTACGCCGCTTTTAGCTATATTCCAGCAATATCACGGCGGGGAACACTAAAAATGGGTACCCATGTGTGGAGTCGAACCCGGGTCTTCGGCGTGGCAAGCCAACGCTTTTACCACTAGGCTACCCCACCGCCCCAGGTAGCTTGTGACACGACTTCACGGTATTGAACTATGTGGTGTACCCTAATATCAAAGCTGATTTTAAAATAACACATTATGCTGTGACCTATCTGATTTATTTCAGTTTGGTTGACATCTATGTATTTCATCGAAATGATGTCACGATGAGGTTCACCATTGTCATTATGGAGACTCAATGTCCAGAGTTGCTAGCATTTCCTGTATCTTTTCATCCTCGTGCTTGGCACTCAAACTTCTCCGGTGGAGATGTCTCGAGTTCCTCGTGGAGAGACGACACATCTGTTGAAGATACAAATACCACTCAGCTGTTGTAAGCTCGAATATGATTCTATGAAGCTGAATTTACTTTAACCAGTCGAACCTGAAAGGTAGCTTGCGAGTGAGTAAGTAAGTATGGTTTTACGCCGCTTTTAGCTATATTCCAGCAATATCACGGCGGGGAACACTAAAAATGGGTACCCATGTGTGGAGTCGAACCCGGATCTTCGGCGTGGCAAGCCAACGCTTTTACCACTAGGCTACCCCACCGCCCCAAGTAGCTTGTGACATGACCCACGGCAATTAAGAGATAAAATTTCACGGACAGAAAGAACTAAACTAAACCACATGCAAAATTAAAATAGTTTACGTATATAGCTAATTATTCCCGATTATTAATCTCTCGTATGTCAGTTCAAATATCAGCTGTACTTACATCCCTGCAGTAATCCTGATCCTCCGTGAAGCACACGTGGTACTGGCACCGGAAGTACAGTTTTTTTATAACCGGAAAAGGCGAATGTTTCGAAAATCTCGCTGCGCCATGTAGTGACGTCATTGTTCAGGAAGATGATTTGGGCATCTCTAGGAGAACATCTGGATTCGACATGTCAAAAGTTTAACTGACTGACTGACTGAGTTTGGTTTTACGCCGCTTTTAGCAATATTCCAGCAACATCACGGCGGGGGACACCAGACATGGGCTTCACACATTGCACCCATGTGGGGATTCGAACCCAGGTCTTCGGCGTGACGAGCCAACGCTTTAACCACTAGGCTACCCCACCGCCCCTCAAAAGTTTAAATAAATCCTCTTATGAATCAGAACATTAAAGTCTAAATACTGAGTACAAGAAATCAGAGTACAAACAAAAAAGACAATGTACAGCTGTAGAGCTTCAATGAACGTTGACAACATGTTCAATAAGTATCGATTATCCGCCGAAACAGCTTCCGTTAAAGTAATGAGTGAGTTTAGTTTTACGACGCACTCAGCAATATTCCAGCTATATGGCGACGATCTGTAAATAATCAACTCTTGACCACACAATCCAGTGATCAACAGCATGAGCATCGATCTCCGCAATGGGGATACGATGACATGTGTCAACAAAGTCAGCGAACCTGACCACCCAATCCCGTTTTTCGCCTCTTACGACAAGCATGGGTTACTGAAGATCATTTCTAACCTGGATCTTCACGGGCTCCTTTTGTTGGAAGATAGCGAGCGAAGATTACTGACATGAAAGTGCTTCGTTCTCTAACGCTACTAAGTTTCGTCATAATTGCATAACCCTGTTCCCATTAAAGTAGGTTGCCTCATGAAACAAAACACGATATGGAAAGTATAACGTACAATATACAGGAGAATAAGTACATGTAGCAGTACACAAGCTGTACAGAATATCGAGAATATAGCACAGGTAATATGACATGTTATAGAATATACAAAATACAACTACGGTTATAACGAAGTCAATGGGACAAGTAAATTTAGTTCGTTATAAACGTAGCTCCTATTACACATTTCGACTAAAACATGCAAAAGTGATCGGGACCAAAAGCCAGATCGATGTACACTTTAGTTCGATATTCACTTTAGTTCGATATAAGCGTCTTCGTTCTGTTTTAACATAGTTTACTGCATGTTTTGATCTGAATCGGAAGATCTCCACAGTCAGCGCTTTATCTGTTTCTCTGTAGAGGAGTTACTTCCCCTAGATCTACGTCCTTCGGAAAATATCGTACAAATCATCGTTTCTAGATGTATTGCCGTTAGTATGTTGCCGTTGGCAACTCGTGCGGGAATATACCTTACAAGTTAGCGGTGTGCTAATACATGTACTCTCCCAAAAAAGAAACGCATATAGGAATTTCAACTGTATTTTTATGTCTATTTTGAAACATCTTGTAGGCTTTATGAGTCAATGTAATATAGCGAAATTGCACACTGGGAATGCAGACTTATCCGTCTTTGGCACCAACTCGAGGAAAGTCAGTCTGAGTGTCACATGGAGACGTGTGGTGGCGGTGAAGTCAATACCTCGTGTGACCACGGTGGGCATCCAGAACTGCACGGCATCGCCTCGGCATCGAACGAGAAAGTCTCAGAATCTCGTGTTCCCCAATCGCAGCCCACTCTGCCTGTAGTGCCTGTGCGAGTTGCTGAAGTGTCTGGGGCTGAGGGTTACGGCGTCGCACCCGTCTGTCCAGGGCATCCCACAGATGTTCGATCGGGTTTAAGTCCGGTGATCTTGAGGGCCAGGGGAGCACATTGATGTTGTGGTTCTGGAGGAAGTCTCTAGTGTGACGTGCTGTGTGGGGCCTGGCATTGTCCTGTTGAAACAACTCCCCTCTGGCGATCAATGATTGGAAGGAGGTGTGGGCGTAGGATTTCGTCACAGTACCGTTGAGCTGTCAGGTTGCCCTGGATCATCATCAAATCACTTCTCCTACGGCAGGTGATCGCTCCCCACATCATAACACTGCCCCAGCCGAATCTGTCCACCTGGGGAACGCAAGCGTCGGCGAAACGTTCACGTCGACATCTGTACACCCGCATTCTTCCATCGAAGTCGTTCCAATAGAAATCGTGATTCATCACTGAACCAGATTCTACGCCAATTTGGTAGGTTCCAGGCCTGAACGTTGGTGCACCATTGAACTCGATTTCGACGCTGTTGTTGTCGAAGCACAGGGCCAAAATAAGGTCTTCTGGCACGTAAACCAGCCTCTCTCAACCTGTTCCTGGCGGGTATTTCTCGAGCTGTACTGGTCGCCGTAGCTGTTCGATGACGCAGGTGATGTACCCGGATGTAGCGATCCTGCGCCGCAGTGGTCGCTCGAGGTCGCCCTCTACGAGGGGCATCTGCTACCGAATTCTGCCGGCGATATCTCTCCCAGAGCCGTGAAACGGTGCTTTGGTGAACATTCATGCGTCGGGCAACTGCACGTTAAGACTGGCCAGCTTCAAGCAAACCAATGGCGATATGACGGTTGGCTTCACTTAGACGTGGCATTTTGAGTTCGTCAACAATATTCCAAATACAGTGAATAATCGACAGACAGCAATCAACCTTTTATACCCTTCATTGAGACTATCATTCTCTTCCCACAGAGGTTACTTGTCATATCTTCCAACGAACCTCTGTTCTAATACGGCCCTTTCGTGGTGCGAGTGTTCAGGATTCGTGATTGGTTGCAATCAGATTTAGTTGTGCAATCAGCGACGTTGTTTCAAAAGTGATCATTCGCAAGGTCTCGGTAATTTCCGTATGCTTCGGGAAAACTAGTACCTCTTCCCCTGCGCGATGCGCAAACGTTTCTTCTAGACAGAACTAAGTCATGTAATAGCGCTTCAATGGCGTCTCCCTCGCCCTCGTTGACAACGGATAAGCTAGCCATTAAATGCCTTGTCTGTCACATCAACACAAGTCCCCGGCAGAGGGGGGATATTTGTGGCCCAATATTTGCGTGTATTAGTCGATGTTACACGTGTTCTGATTGGATAGACAGAAGGGAGATAATTCGTGTTGCGATTTTTTGCCGCTAGGGGATTTTACGAGAACCGGGAAATATGGCCGTATTAGAACAGAGGTTTGTAGGAAGATATGACAAGTAACCTCTGTGGGAAGAGAATGTGAGACTATCTGATCCCCAACTTTCACGTGCATTGCATGTGAATTGTGTATTCTGTGATACTACACGCCGAAATTGAAAATCATGCTGTTAAATACGGGTATTTTACGGATGGTGCGTTTAGTTGTGATGTTTCAAAACATAAACACCATAGGACTCATAAACAGAGCAAAACCTTTTGTAAAATGAATCACGTTTCAATTCATTGCTACATGAAATTGCTATTTTCATGATGCGTTTCTTTTTTGGGAGAGTATATTAATAGAATGTTTCTCAATTAATGATAATCCGAATCGTGTCTAAGGTAACATAAAGTTATAGATTAAAGACATATAAATATAGAAAATATTGGAAATTTGACAAACAATACATACTTCTTATACATTTCCATTGACGCACTGCCTGCGCACTTTAGGGTATAGACGACATGCATTATGAAAGTGCAGTTATGCTATAAAATTATGCCATTTTTTTCGTGTAAGCCCAATAGGTTACAAAGCTTCATATTTAGATAGTATTGAGGGCTTGCCCAACCTTTTTAGCAACAATCATGTGTAAGCCCGGGCTGTTTTTTATTTTGGTACGACCCTGACATCTATTAACCTCAGTTTCTACTTTAGCTTCACGTTACTCATTAGGGATGAAAGACATTCAGAGTGAACACACTGCGCTGTACCATGTGTCTACGTACCCGTGTTCGTCGGTGAAGACGACGTTGTGTCTATGGTCCAGTGTCCCCACAGAGCAGTTGAATGGGGAGATGGCGTTCACGCCGAAATCTGAAACCAACAAGGTTTAAACTGAAACTGACATACTGTAAATATGAACAAGACCTGTTAAGTTAAATACATATTCTCTTTGTTGGAGTGCGTGACAATTTAGTGAGCGAGGATTACTGACATAGAAGTGCTTCGTTCTCTAACGCTACTATGTTTCGTCATAATTGCATAACTCTGAATGTCTGTTCATACCGTCCACGTTGTTCAGCTTCAGCTGGAGGCGGACTTGCTGACCCAAGGTTGCTGTGGTTACAGGGAGGTTATTGGCGGGGTCGATGATGTCCAGACTCACAGACAACGTGCTCTCAGTAAGAGTTGCAAACTTGTTGGCAGGCCTGGTCAAAGCAAGAACATGTATATGTATGTATTTGCATGTATGTACTATGTATGTATGTATGTATGTATGTATGTATGTATGTATGTATGTATGTATGTATGTATGTATGTATGTATGTATTTATGGATGTATGTATGTATGTATGTATGTATGTATGTGTGTGTGTGTGTGTGTGTGTGTGTGTATGTGTGTGTATGTATGCATGCATGTATGTATGTACTATGTATATATGTATGTATGTGTGTGTATGTATGTATGTATGTATGTATGTATGTATGTATGTATGTATGTATGTATGTATGTATGTATGTATGTATGTATGTATGTATGTATGTATGTATGTATGTATGTATGTATGTATGAATGTATGTATACTAGACGTCATTAATAAAGGGTCAAATGATATATAGCACATGTAACGAAAAGTTTCTCAGAAATACTAGAATTAAGCGTGCCATCATAATGTTTTATGTGTTGACAAACGTGACATCGTTACATACAGACAAAATCTGGCAAACATCACTTGTGTACACCAACCCCCCAAAATGAAAATGACAAACATGAAGCACTATGTGAGTCAATATCTTGTGTACCCTCCTCGCGCGTCTAAGACACAGGTGCACCTTGTTCTCATGCTCCTTATCAAGTTCATAAAGAAAGCTTGCGGAATCACATTCCATTCCTCTACTAGAGCTCTGCGGAGTCCTGGGAGATCTACTGGTGCTGGGTGACGTGTATACACACGTCGACCGAGTTTATCCCAGGCATGTTCAATTGGGTTGAGGTCCGGCGAGCGTAACAATTCTGGCCTAGCGTTTTCGTCTTGCAGTACATATAGGGTCGACCATATCAGCCATGCATAGCTTGCAGGAATGGTACTGCTATAGTAGGCAGAAACTCGTCCCGATGACGCAGTCGGGTAAGATTACCGTTGACCACGTGCAGTGGAGTACGTCCGGTAGGAGTTATCCCTGCCCAAACCATGATCCCCCAACCCCCCCCACCAATCGGTTATGCGTGGCCACAGTTGTTGCATCTGTGATTCGCTCTCCATTGCGACATTAAATCCTCTGCCGACCATCATGGAAGGAATTATTGAATCTGCTTTCATCTGTGAAGCGCACACGAGACCATTAAGGTTGATTCCAGGTGTCATGATGTCATGATGTCTTCTCCATCTCAAACGCGCCTGCTTGTTACGTGGTGTTAGTGGTTTACGAAGTGCAGGTTGCCTACAGCGGAGTCCGGCTGCCCTTAAACGAACGAACGGTGCTCCTGGATATCCTTACATTGTTAACCTTAAAGTGTTCTGTCTGAAGACCTGCTGCGTTAAAGAATCTGTTTCGTAACGCATTGTTAATCATGTGCCCATCATCTCTGACTGTTCTGACTCTGGGGCGACCTGGTCCACGTGCATATTCCACGGACCCATTGGCTTGAAATCTCTGCCACAGTCTACCAATAGCACTCTGACTAACATTAAAGCGGACAGCAACCTGCCGCTGAGTTTGACCAGATTCCAAAAGGCCTATAGCCTCACCCCTGTCAGCAAGTGTAAAAAAAGGTCTCATTTTAAGCTGCGATTACAAACGGGTAACTGAACAGTGAACGACAGTGAAAAAGCATCAATGCATGTGTATTGTCCTCCACTTTCCATGGATAGAGCGACTTGCACGTGCAAATGGTTGACATTAAGTGGCAGGTAGATTTCCATATTGACAATTTGAATAAAAAATGTTCCATTGTAACAGAATGTATCGGACGTTAAAGAACGTGATAAGGACATTTCAAAGGCCTGATGTGTTTTTCCATACTGCTAAGAAAGTTTGTAAAACATCCAGGTGTATATATTGCACACGAAAAAGATTTTACAACTTTTAAGAAATAGTGTTACCAACAGCTTGACCCTTCTTTAATGACGCCAGGTGTGTGTGTGTGTGTGTGTGTGTGCGTGCGTGCGTGCGTGCGTGCGTGCGTGCTATCAAAATGTTTTGGGCCTAAAATACTTCTGATATGTGCATGACAAAAAATAATTGTATGATATTCAAGAATGGTTTATATCATTTACATAAACGTAATATTGACATGCAGATGTCACTAGTTTCCGGTCACATGACATCTGATCACATGTACCCATATGGAACGGCAGAAACGGATTAGCTCGAGTATAGAGCAGTCATAAAGTTCTTGGTCCTCGGAGGCCACCCGGCAAAGCACATTGAAGAGCGATTGACAGCAGTTCGAGTCACAGGGGCGTGCCACGCTTAGAAACAGCGTTAGAAAGACATATAGGTATATAGACCCTACCCTAGTACTATATAAAAGGCAAGGGATGTAACGACGAAACCATCCCCTACTCAATGAAAGTTAGATTTCACCACGTAAACTATTTTTAAGGCCCCGTCGAGGCCTACGGATAGAAAGCGAGATAATTTCCCTACAAAATGAGCTATAAATGGTCACAATCGGATCATTATTTCAAAAGTTATACGCCACGACTCACCGAAAACAGCTACCTCCGCAATTCCAAGCCAAAATCATGGATCACCCAAGACAGCGAAAACTCACCTTTTAAATTCGTTTATTAATTCCAGCCACGTTGACAGCACCTATGTGGGGCTAGATTCGATCGACAGGGGCATTCCACGGGTCTGAAATTTTATTGCATCATCTAAAAATCATTTCCTCGACAGTAAGCAGGCATTTTCTCCAAAACCATGGGCAATCATACTCACTTGTCGGCCATAGATGGCCTTGACATTCAAGTGATCTGCGCGGATCCGCAGAAACTGAATTGGGCCATCCGATTGGTGGAGAAAAAAATATACTGTAGAATTTTGACTGTTTGCTAATGGGCGCGAAATATGAACTTTGCAATATTCCTTCTATTTTGGATGATGTACGGAACAGTAAATTGTTAAGAATAATTTTAGAGGTTGTACAAATGCATTCGATATTGATTTAGGAAATTATATTTACATATTTAATCTCTAAAATTATTCTTACCAATTTACTGCTCAGGTCACTTGAATGTCAAGGCCATCTATGGCCGACAAGTGAGTATGATTGCCCATGGTTTTGGAGAAAATGCCTGCTTACTGTCGAGGAAATGATTTGTAGATGTTGCAATAAAATTTCAGACCCGTGGAATGCCCCTGTCGATCGAATTTAGCCCCACATAGGTGCTGTCAACGTGGCTGGAATTAATAAACGAATTTAAAAGGTGAGTTTTCGCTGTCTTGGGTGATCCATGATTTTGGCTTGGAATTGCGGAGGTAGCTGTTTTCGGTGAGTCGTGGCGTATAACGTTTGAAATAATGATCCGATTGTGACCATTTATACCTCATTTTGTAGGGAAATTATCTCGCTTTCTATCCGTAGGCCTCGACGGGGCCTTAAAAATAGTTTACGTGGTGAAATCTAACTTTGATCGAGTAGGGGGTGGTTCCGTCGTTACATCCCTTTCCTTTTATATATTACTAGGGTAGGGTCTATATACCTATATGTCTTTCTAACGCTGTTTCTAAGCGTGACACGCCTCCTTTTATATAGTTTTAGGGTAGGGTCTATATACCTATATGTCTTTCTAACGCTGTTTCTAAGCGTGACACGCCCCTGTGGTTCGAGTACCCCGTGTGAATGATATAAACCTTTATTACCCATGTGGCGAAACATAACCAGTGTCATATATATATATATCACATGTGCACATATCACGTTTGAAAAGCAACAATTGTTTCTGTGTTTCGTCGTCTGTGACGTCATTAAACAATTGAACGTGACGTCAATGAAGATGGCCGTCACACTTGCTTATCGTGTTTTACTGCACAAATGTACATGAATAAAATGGATAATAAAGAAATTATTACACTCGAGCAAGTGTGTCATGGCTTGCACGAAACTCGTACAAACTTATGTACCATTTTGCCCTCGCCCTCGCTTGGACAATACATAATTTCACACTCGTTTCGAATAAGTCATATCACACACTTGATCCTGTATCAATCTCTATTTCTTCAGTATCATACGGTTATTTTTATCATGCACATATCAGAAGTATTTTAGGCTGAAAACGTTTTGATGGCCCCTCGTATTTTGCCCTTTTCATCTCATACTTATACACGTACTTGTCAGTGTTGGAGGTGGTATCACTCTCCAAGGTTCTGGCTTTAGTGAAGTCGCACTTCACCTCAAACATGGATTCATAGGCAGATGAAGTACCTGGATACTCCTTGAATCTGAACTTCCATGAGTGAACCTCACTCGACAGCTACAACATAAACGCATGTATTTGTGTATGTGTGACAATCTGTGTTTGCTCATACCTTACTTCTGAATGCTTGATGCGCGTAGGCGGATCCAGAGGTGTGTGTGTGTGCGTGCGTGTGTGTGTGCGTGTGTGTGTGTGTGTGTGTTTGCGCGCGCGCGTGCACAGAGCTGCGCATCCCCCCTTTTTGTCCTAAAAGTTTATTAAATGACCATTGAAACTCTCGTGAAAATGAAGTGTGCACCCCCAACCCCCCCTTTCTCAAAAAGCTGTATCCGCCCTGATGCGATCAAATACGATTACCTCGAGAATATTCGTAGTTGACCACATGAATGAAGAATTGATTTATGATAACTAGTATCTGCTTCGCCGCAGCACAAATTACATCAATTGAAAATAGAAAAAATCCTCATACACAATAATAGTCACCATTTGTTTCTGAATATTGACATGCTGCGGAACAAAAAGACATCAGTGAAAATACCAACTTAGAAGCACCAAAGGTATGGCGCAATGCCCTATAAAGATGTGCTTCAATGCTCAAACACAGGTCTAAACATGTGGCTTGTAAACATTTTATAATAATGTTGAAAAAGAGCGACAACACCCTTTCCACATCCTAAGAAATATCTGCTAAAGCAAAATTGATTGTATAATTCTGACTAAATCATGAGTATGTATTAGTTTCAGCAGTATTACAGCTGTACGATGTTGTTTGTAAGCAATCGAGTCTGGACCAGACAATCCAGTGATTGTCACCATGCGATACGATGACAGTGAGAGCATGTGTTTATGAATCGGTATGAAATAGTGATGCTACCAGGTGTTCGCGAAAAGGTGAGCGTATCCCGCCCCACCGGTGGCACCCGTCATAAACATAATGCTAAATCTAGGCAGATGTTCAAAAGAATGTTTAGAGTCTGAACAACATTAATCTGTCCCAAAATCCAAAACATATCGTAAAGATCGATCAAGAGCATGTTTGGCAGTGTTGTCAAGAATGACACTTTGCATAGTTGCTCCGACACAGTGTAAAAGTAAATTGTTTAGTCCTTTTATTACGTAGAACGTATTTCATCATTTGAAAATGTCATACAAGGACCTTGACGTATACCCATACTGTACCTTGGTTCCTCTACAATCAGGAATGAAACTGCTATTCGCAGCTTGCATCACCTTCAGCGTCCCCGTACGGCCAGCTTCGAAATAGTCAAAATCGGTTCGGGTACAATTGTCGACAGTGTTCCCATGCTCATCTATGGCAGAAACATCCCGGTAGATCGTCCCCTTTTGATCTACACGAAACATCATCACATTACGTCCTTGGATCTTGAAGCAGTAGAACTTGGCTGAAATACATTTAAATTATCATATGTCATTTTCGTTACTAGTATATGGTCTGATCAAAACGCGTCCGTAATTTAACTGTAAGCTTACTGGCATAAATCCCACAAAATTAATATCATGATAATTTTTATTGTACAATTTGCTTTCATAATTGTGCCTCAAATAATTATCAGCTCAAATACATTATGTCACTAAATTGAACTTAAAAGCCAAATAAACTTACCTTCGGCTTTCTGTTTTTCTGAAAAACACATCAGTACATACAGTTCGACGCAGGTACTAAGCCTTGGATTCTTTAACCACCCATCGAATTATAAGTTTGGCTCATTATCATGTAAATATTTTTTAAAAGTATTTGATACTATTGTGAAACCAATTTTGTGGAATGGAGCAGAAATATGGGGTACTTCCTTTTGTAAAACTATTGAAAGTGTTCAGATTAAGATGTGTAAAAGGTAGTGGTGTTCCGATTAATTGAAATAATCGAAGATTGGTCGAAGTGACCAAACGACCAAGCAATCGATCACATTTGCTCATAATCGAACAGAAACGATTTTGGAACTACTGTTTTAGTCTTTGAAATACTTGACAATGGAACATATCGTAGAAGTTGTCAAGGCCTGAAAACGTGTTTAATTCTTAGAAAACTCACTTCTCCAACTGAAAAGCCATGACTGAATATATTTTTTGAAGACTCCGGGAAGTTTATGTTCATGATATATTAGTCAACACTTTAAAGTAGCAAGTTGCATCATGTTATACATATGCAGTAGCGACGTGGATAGGAAAATCTGAAAAATGACGCTGACCAATTTTTTTCGATGATTGTTCGTTGGTAATGAAGCAATCATCAATTGTGATATTTCAACCAATTCCCAACACTAGTAAAATGATATTGAAGGTACAAAAGAATACTTGTAATGTAATGGCTCTGGGCGAGTGTGGCAGGATGCCTCTGCAGTTATCTTATATGACAAGGGCTGTCAAATATTGGTGTAAATTATTGTATATGGACCAATCTCGTCTACCTTATCAGTGTTACAGGATGCTTCTATCATTAGATGCAGGGAGGTAGAATCACTTGGGCTAGTCATATTAAGAATACTCTCTTCAAATAAAGATTTGGATTTGTATGGGTATCTCAGGAAGTGGGTTATGTTGAGATGTTTATTTGTACCTTCCGTCAGAGATTAGCTGATAACCTTAAGCAGGAATGGCATATGCAAGTTGATACTTTGTCACATTTTGTTTTATACAAACAGTTTAATTCTCTTTTACAAGTTGAAACACATCTTACGTCATCCTTACCATTACAGTTTAAGGTTGTTTTAGCCAGATTTAGATGTAGTTACTTTAGAATAGCTGTAAATAATGGAAGATACTCCTCTACATTGTATGGAGATAGGTTGTGCCAGTATTGTTTAAGACAAGGGAAGTATTACATTGAGAATGAAGAACGTATATTATTAATCTGTGAACAATATCATCAGTTACGGCATAATATACTGGGCATATCCACATGTAATTCTGATACTACATTTGTTAACTTAATATCAGCTCAATACTTCAGTCAGTTCGGAAAGATTTCCTTAAATTAAAGGTCCAGCAAATTATTGATAGTAGTAATAAGTAATTTTTTATACATTTTTCATGGTTTTATAATGTATTTTGTACAACGCGCAGAATTTATATGTCAATATGATTGTATTTTGGAACAGTGGCCTTTATACTGAATAAATATTTGTCTGTCTGTCCATCGAATGATAAAAGTGTATGGCATGAAGCACGCACGTACATATACTGACTGACTGACTGAGTTTGGTTTTACGCCGATTTTAGCAATATTCCAGCAACATCACTGTGGGGGACACCAGAAATGGGCTTCACACATTGTACCCAAGTGGGGATTCGAACCCGGGTCTTCGGCGTGACGAGCCAACGCTTTAACCACTAGGCTTCCCCACCGCCCCACGCACATATACACACGAGCTTCGTGTTATATATATGTGCCTTTGTTTTAACATTAACAACACGGTTTTTCCGATCTACGCTGGTATCTACTTTCAACTGAAAAACTCAAACGAAATCGAAACTTTATTTCAGTTAGACATACCTGTATCGCAAGTCTCCCCCTTCCAGCCTATCTGGCAGCCATATTTGCAGAGACCGGAAGTGGTGTTGCAGACGTCCCCACTACAGTGGCACTGGTTGGTGCAGTTCTCTCCAAAACGACCAGGGAAACAGTCTGGAATTATTTTTGGTTAGAATCAGAAACGAGACTTCGGATCAACAGTTACAGTCCGTTTGAGTCAGAAACGGACCGATGAATTGCAAATTGTATCATTGTACAAAATTGCCACATAAATATAAATAGTACACATGTTTATCATTTACTAATACCCAACAGCTTTCTTACATTTGAAAATTTTCCGGACTCCACCAAAAAAGTTGTTAAAGAAACTATCATCATTGAAAACGCAAAAGTTGTTATCTGTCGCGGCGGGGTGAAACCGCAGAAACGGAACAGCCACTATCTCGTCGTGCACGGGATACACATGCCTGATGAAAAATGAAGTTGAATGCTGACGTGAAACAGTTGATGATTTAAGTGTACGATTTTTTCCGTGTTGAAGCCGAAAGGGGCAAACCATTTTATGCCATTAATAAATTCCGTAAGCGGGCAGCCAAAGCTTTAGGAGTATCAACAAGGTACTGACAAATGTTCTGGAACACGAACATTGTGAGGGTGATGCGAAGCAGGTAGGGGTCGTGTCAAAATCACACAAATTTTTAAATATAAGAAAGCTGTTGTGTATTAGTAAATGATAAACATGTGTACTATTTATATTTATGTGGCAATTTTGTACAATGATACAATTTGCAATTCATCGGTCCGTTTCTGACTCAAACGGACTGTAAGGGGTAATGATGACAATCGAGTTCACTCACCTGAAGGCTTCTGACAGATGAATAGTTGACGGTTCGTGCAAGACTCAATCGACCATTTCTTTGTTCGTGATTTCCACACTGCACAGGTAATTCCAAAGTTATAACTGTACCTGCTGCTATCTTCGAAGTTCGTGTACGAGAGGTACTGGAAATAAATTCATTGTTAACGAAAACGAGATGCTTACCCCCGGATATGTAATCACGGCTAATTCGAAATAAAGCATTCACTTACTTTCTCTGTTCCGTCTGTCTCATATGTCCAACTCCCGCTATAGGATCGTCGGATTCCGAGCCAGTGTATACCTCTTGTGTTGGCCATGTCTGACATATACGAGGCAGTATGTTAGCAAAACGCAAGCACAGTGACAGACACTGGTAAAGAATCTTTACTTGTTACAAGGATATATTTACTTTGATTTTTACTCTTGCAGCTTGTCGTACCTTTACACTTCACTTCATCTGCAAACACATCGATTCAGAACAAAAATCCTCCTTGATACGTAAAGCTTGATTACTGTATTTGTTCATAATCAATAACGGGCAGTCAGTCCTTGTAGCCAAAGCTCAGATTTTGATAGTCATGCCGAATTTATATATTATTTGTTAGTTGTAAAACAATTTCCACAATTCTCCTGAGAGCCGAAGTCCGCGAATTTGTTCAAAATTGTCTATGTTCACCCAGCAGAAAATGGATACCCGACGGGATAAGTTATATGACTATTAACCTTCTTGCCCCTAACAGGCAGCTTGGGTTATCCGAGGTAATAATGGACATCATGTTGTATGCCCTTGGAGCATGTCCTTGCGGCGTGGAGTTCATAAAAATGGCTACCCGATGGGATAAGTTATATGACTATTAAACTTCTAGCGCCTCACAGGCAGCTTGAGTTATCCGAGATAATAATGAATATCGCGCTGTATGCCCTTAGAGCATGTCGCTGCTGAGTTCAGCGCTATATGAGTGGTCATATCATTATCATTGTTAAGGAGGTTGGTCATATATACCTGTGAAGAGTAGGTTCTCATCTTCGTTGGTAATAACTCTGAGTCTGGACCCCAACTGACGACACTCACTTTTGGCGTCAGAGAATATCATCTGGGTCGAGCCCAACTTGTAGCAAGACTGAAGTTTCAGCATCCATCCTTCTGGACACTTGAACCTTTCTGAAATCCCCAACATTGTCATAAGTAGGTGTAATTGAATTAACTTCCTTGAGTTGCATTTAGAAGTTGGTGTTATGGACAACGAGGAGAGTTCAATGGATATACAACTTCTTTAATATAATATGAGCGGTGTAGCTACTAACACCAGGTGAGTGTATGTGTGTATGGCGTAGGTGTGTGAGATGAGTGTATGTGTGTGTGGTGTAGTTATGTGTGTATATGAGGTGGGCGTATGTGTGTGTCGTGTAGTTATGTGTGTATGTGAAGTGAGTGTACGTGTGTGTGTGTGGTTTAGGTATGTGTGTATATGAGGTGAGTGTATGTGTGTGTCGTGTAGTTATGTGTGTATGCGAGGTGAGTGTATGTGTGTTTGGTATAGGTATGTGTGTATGTGAGAGAGGAAGGAATGACTGATTTTCTACATGATTGGAGTGGATGGGCAAATACAAGAGGTGTGTTATACAAACAAACGTACAGGTATCAACGGTTTATGAAATTGATTAGAATGCATCCAAAATATATGCATTCTATGGATGACAACCTCATTGCACAGAGCGACGTTTTGGGTGTAGATTCCTACACCGTTATCAAGCTAGAACAACCCAGAAGGCTACGTTACTGTATGCCGGTACATGAAACTTACTTTAACTGATATTCTGCATGTCGGATTACACTGAAATACCTCTGCACTAAGAAAAATATAATATTGTCAAACAAAGTAGCATTTGATGACACTGATGCAGTTGTGAATTGGATACTGTTATTTCATATAGAGGTTTCCCCGCATACAAAATTTTAGATGCATTCGCACATGAATGATAACTGTTTCATTAAATATACTCTCCCAAAAAACTGTATTTTTATGTCTATTTTGAAACATCTTGTAGGCTTTATGAGTCAATGAAATATAGCGAAACTGCACACTGGGAATGCAGACTTATCCGTCTTTGGCACCAACTCGAGGAAAGTCAGTTTGAGTGTCACATGGAGACGCGTGGTGGCGCTGAAGTCGTGTGATTACGGTGGGCATCCAGAACTGCACGGCATCGCCTCGGCATCGAACGAATAAGTCTCAGAATCTCGTGTTGCCCAATCGCAGCCCACTCTGCCTGTAGTGCCTGTGCGTGTTGCTGAAGTGTCTGGGGCTGAGGGTTACGGCGTCGCACCCGTCTGTCCAGGGCATCCCACAGATGTTCGATCGGGTTTAAGTCCGGTGATCTTGAGGGCCAGGGGAGCACATTGATGTTGTGGTTCTAGAAGAAGTCTATAGTGTGACGTGCTGTGTGGGGCCTGGCATTGTCCTGTTGAAACAACTCCCTCTGGCGATCAAAGATTGGAAGGAGGTGTGGGCGTAGGATTTCGTCACAGTACCGTTGAGCTGTCAGGTTGCCCTGGATCATCACCAAATCACTTCTCCTACGGCAGGTGATCGCTCCCCACATCCTAACACTGCCCCGGCCGAATCTGTCCACCTGGGGAACGTTCACGTCGACGTCTGTACACCCGCATTCTTCCATCGCGTCGTTCCAATAGAAATCGTGATTCATCACTGAACCAGATTCTACGCCAATTCGGTAGGTTCCAGGCCTGAACGTTGGTGCACCGTTGAACTCTATGTCGACGATGTTGTTGTCGAAGCACAGGGCCAAAATAAGGTCTTCTGGCACGTAAACCAGCCTCTCTCAACCTGTTCCTGACGGTCTGTGCAGAAATCCTCCTCAATCCGGATATTTGTGGAGCGGTACTGGTCGCCGTAGCTGTTTGATGACGCAGGTGATGTACCCGGATGTAGACCATGCAGTATCATTCATGTGCGAATGCATCTAAAATTTTGTATGCGGGGAAACCTCTATGTACCCGGATGTAGACCATGCAGTACCCTACCATGCAGTGGTCGCTCAATGTCGCCCACTACGAGGGGCATCTGCTACCGAATTCTGACGGCGATATCTCTCCCAGAGCCGTGAAATGGTGCTTTGGTGAACATTCATGCGTCGGGCAACTGCACGTTGAGACTGGCCAGCTTCAAGCAAACCAATGGCGATATGACGGTTGGCTTCACTTAGACGTGGCATTTTGCGTTCGTCAGCAATATTCCAAATACAGTGAATAATGGACAGACAGCGATCAACCTTTTATACCCATCATTGAGACTATCTGATCCCAAACTTTCACGTGCATTGCATGTGAATTGTGTATTCTGTGACACTACACGCCGATATTGAAAATCATGCTGTTAAATACGGGTATTTTACGGATGGTGCGTTTTGTTGTGATGTTTCAAAACATAAACACCATAGGACTCATAAACAGAGCAAAACCTTTTGTAAAATGAATCACGTTTTAATTCATTGCTACATGAAATTGCTATTTTCATGATGCGTTTCTTTTTTGGGAGAGTATACATTCATTCATGTCAACAGTAGTTCATGTTCCTATATTAGTATAGTTTTTTGTTAAACAATTTGTGGCGTCAATATGAACATTATCATAACCGATTTATAACGATATCACTCACTCACTCACTCATTCTTGATGTCAACGTTGAAATGGTCTATAGCACACGCGTTTTTACCGAAATTGATGTTAATTGTATAGAGAGAAGTGTTCAATAAAACAGTCTGATTCTAGTAGATAGTTGCTGTACAAGCAATGCATTTTGGTGTCGTTTTTTTGTTCTGGCATCGTCTAATTAGTACTGCGAGGTCCTCTGTTCCTCGTTAACAATACACTGATGTCTTGGCTATTCGGTTTCACTTATTGTGGTCAGATGGTAATACTACCCAGGCAGAGATGTATTCATGTCAGGGCATTACGTGTATTAACCTTCAAGACAATGTGACTCGTGCCTGTAGAACCCAGATTGGCAGGAGGAATATCGTCAGTATGACTAGAAAACAATGGCTTGAATTGTCGCTTTTAAATTGTCGCTTTGATCATGTCAGTATATATTGCAATCGTGAGGTAACGAAGCGACCGTACAATGTTAACAATGGAAGTGACAAGCAGACACCATAATGCAAAGAGTCATTACTTGGCTGTATCTCTTCCTCTCTCTGTAAAGAACGATGTCTATACTCACTAACCCCTGACTTTTGCTTATAACTACAGTTTAGTGTAAAACGCAATATTGGTTTGTACACTATATTGTTCACCGTCGCACTCAGCAATATTCCAGCTCTATGGCGACGGTTTTAAATAATCGACTCTGGGCCAGACAATACAGTGATCAACAGCATGAGTATTGATCTACACGACTGGGATAATATGACATGTGTCAACCAAGTCAGTGAGCCTGACCACCCGATTCCGTTAGTAGCCTCTTACGACAATTATGGGTTAGTGAAGATCAATTCTGTACAATGCATTATAAAACACAATTGGAAACGAATTATTTACCATCTATCTGAATATAGGCATATCTAAGTCCTCTCATATAATATGTATGGTTTTACGCTGCGTTTTAGGTTTCACTTACCCGATGTATCCTCCCCATCTGCATCCACGGAGACAAGGAACATCGCCAACATCAACAGCAACATCCCCACATTGCCTATTGCCATGTTTGTTGACGATACCTTACACCATCCAGTGAGGCCAGACAGAGAGATGGAGGTCACATTCACGTGATAAGATATGTAGAGAACACGAAGAAAGGAGGGGGACGCCGGGATACCGATAAGGTGGTACTGAGAACTGGGAAGGTGGGTGGGTGGGTGGGCGGGTGGGGTTTTGTAAGCTAGTTACAGCAATCGGGGTTCGGTGAGATATTAGACAGCAGGTAGTGATGAGCAAGATATTTAGTATTATGTTTCTCGTGAGATTTAGTATTATGTTTCTCGTGAGATTTAGTTTATGTTTCTCGTGAGATTTAGTTTTATGTTTCTCGTGAGATTTAGTTTTATGTTTCTCGTGAGATTTAGTATTATGTTTCTCGTGAGATTTAGTATTATGTTTCTCGTGAGATTTAGTATTTTCTCGTGATGTTTCTCGTGAGATTTAGTCTCGTGAGATTTAGTATTATGTTTCTCGTGAGATTTAGTTTTATGTTTCTCGTGAGATTTAGTTTTATGTTTCTCGTGAGAGTTTAGTTTTATGTTTCTCGTTTTAGTTTTATGTTTCTCGTGAGATTTAGTATTATGTTTCTCGTGAGATTTAGTTTTATGTTTCTCGTGAGATTTAGTTTGATGTTTCTCGTGAGATTTAGTATTATGTTTCTCGTGAGATTTAGTTTTATGTTTCTCGTGAGATTTAGTATTATGTTTCTCGTGAGATTTAGTTTTATGTTTCTCGTGAGATTTAGTTTTATGTTTCTCGTGAGATTTAGTTTTATGTTTCTCGTGAGATTTAGTATTATGTTTCTCGTGAGTCAAAGTGTAACGTTTGGTCTTCCCATCACTGCCCATCATTCTGAATATGGATAAAACAACGTTTGGGCAAGATTCGTATGGCCCTCTCTAAAATATTGATAAAAAGAGCGCCCGAATTACCTATAACGTTGTTAAACACAGAATGTTGGGGTATAAGAATATTGTACGACATGAAGGGAAAGGTGACTGTTAGAAATGAGTTTTGTCATACACCTTTGTGGATGCATACCCAGTATGTCAATATTAATGTCAAACTGTGCGTAGGTATTTTCAATGAGGAAATCCAGCATTTCAAATACTGTTTTTTTCAGAAAGCACCAGATGACATTTGCTTTTATTTTTGACAACTTTTCCCGAACCTCTGAAGATAGATATGTGACTACACCTATGCCCATCACGTTCATTAACAAATGTAAGGAAAGAAGCATTTCCTTAATTTGTCCATGCGGGCTAGTGGTGAATCCCTGTTTATCTGCACGTGTCAATGACCCGTCACCTTGAACAGCTGTATCCCTACTCGTGATGATAACTGAGTTGTACCTCCACTTCTACTTCTGATATTGAAAAGGGTTTATGTGAAAGTTGGGTTTAGGAGATATACATTCTGTAACGTAAAGCTAGGTTGGTTGTAAATTTAACCCTCATTGTAGGTTTTGAATGTACAAAGCTTTACTAACCTTCAAAACCGCAAGCCCTACATACGATGTTTTGGGTGTTTTTGTTTGTCGTTTAACGCTGCACTCAGCAATATTCCAGCTATATTGCGGCGTTCTGTAAACACTACAGAGATCAATAGAGGGTGCATCGATCACATGACGACGTGTGTCAACCAAGTCAGCGAGCCTGACCACCCGATCCCGTTAGTCGCCCCTTACTACGAGCATGGGTTACTGAAGACCTATTCTAACCAGGTCTACTAAATATGTAGTGTTACACATACTTTGAATATTGCAGTTACAGCAACTCTGCAATGTGTAACGTATATCTGGACATTTCGTGATTTCAGAATGCCTTCAGTAAGTGGAAGAGAAAGATGTACCTCGTTGATACAGCCGTCAAACAAGCTGATCTAGCTAGAGATGATTATGATAGCGTGATTTGAAATCTGATTTCCCAATTCATGATTTAGAGACAAGACAAGATGTTGTGATCCAGAATATGATTTATTGCAGTTTTGGAGACAACGTGGTATTATAGGAACACGGATAAATAAACACTTCAATTACACAATTTCCAAGGTCGTCAGCTTTTCTGCTAGCCCTTCATCTCTGTGAGTGGAGAACAGACTTCTCCGGTGAAGGTGTCTGGAGTTCTTTTCCTTGGAGAGACGACACATCTGTTGCAGTCAAAACGAATAACATTTCATCAACCACTTGTTTAAGATTTGAATACGTCACCGTTCGACAACACATGATTCTATGAATATGTATGAAAAACGGATGAAAACTAAGAGACGACCTTTAAATATCGGTCCGGGATTTGCAGATAGAAGTACCCATACAGTGAAATATGCACGCAGTTAACTTGAATGGCTAATTCCAATTGCTGATTACTAATGTCACATATTTCAGCTTTAAGATTAGCTGTACTTACATCCCTGCAGTATTTCTGTTCCTCTGTGAAGCACACGTGGTACTGGCACCGGAAGTACAGCTTATCATTACCGGGAAAGGCGAATGTTTCGAAAATCTCGCTGCGCCAGGTAGTGACGTCATTGTTCAGGAAGATGATTTGGGCATCTCTGGTGGAACATCTGGATTCAAGGTATCAAACGGTAAAAGAAGTCATCATAAGATACAAAACGCAAAAGAACAAACTACAGTTTACAGCTCGAGGAGGGGAGAGAGTAGGGGATAAGGTGGCGTCTGTGTGGAGGGGTGGGGCTGGGTGTCATTCTTGATGTGATGGATTAATGCAGAATTAAGGATCACATTTGACGTTCATTGTCTACAGGTCTATTGGTATGTTTCAAACGAGAAGAACACTGCGAGAATTCGCCAATTTGTAATGTGTCCCATTTTGCGATATGGTGATTTTTGAACAGGCTTCTGCTTACGAAAATCTTTTAGGCGGTCACCACCAGCACCGGAAGGTGAATAAGACAAGTCAAAGATCAGTTCATCAGAAACCAGGCTTCTAGAAATGAAGCACAAACAGCTAATCAAATGATTGTTTACTTGCGCCAGATCACCGGAGTTCAAGTTCGACACCAACATGAACAAGTCAAAACTTTCCAGCCAGACCTCAAATGAGTTTAGAGCATAGAAACTTGGGGAATCGCCAGTGGCCCCGTGCAGTGTTAGTCGACGTTTTGGTAGGCATTGATGTGTCTGAATGAGTCCTAGCGAACGTCATGCGAACGCAAGGTAACATTTAGAGGTCGGAGTGTGAATGAGTTTAGTTTTACGCCGCACTCAGCAATATTCCAGCTATAGGGCGGCGGTCTGTAAATAATCGAGTCTGGACCAGATAATCCAGTGATCAACAGCATGAACATCGATCTGCGCAATTGGGTACCGATGACATGTGTCAACCAAGTCAGCGAGCCCGACCACCCAATTCCGTTAGTCGCCTCTTACGACAAGCATGGGTTACTGGAGATCAAAATTCTAACCAGGACCTTCACGAGTATTACAGGTCGGTCTATATAACGATACGTGGCGCTGTCTGTGACTGCCAAACAATATAACTGAATAGTAACACCGAGACAACATACCCACTTGGGCCATTAGAGTAAATGAGTGAGTGAGTGAGCATAGTTTTACGCTGCTTTAGCAATATCCCATTAATACCACGGCGGGGGACATCAGAAATAGGCTTCCCGCATTGTACCCATGTGGGGAATCGAACCCAGGTCTTCGACGTGACGAGCGAACGCTTTAACCACTAGGCTACCCACCGACCCTGGGCCATTAGAAAACAGAATGTGGAATACAGACTATGGAGTAGTGATTTCAATTGTGGATGTAGAACCAGAACTGTGCATACATGTATTGTCCATCCTTCATTGCAGCGCTTTGACAATAAGTTCGGGTATTAGGCGAGGTATGTGCTATATGCGAGAATTTCCATCAGTATTAGTATTCTATCTATTACGTACATAATGACATTACACATTTCACACATTCATATCTTTACTTTAGTTTTTAACTTAAGACGGTAGACAACCACAGTGCACACACTGCGCTGTACCATGTGTCTACGTACCCGTGTTCGTCAGTGAAGATGACGTTGTGTCTATGGTCCAGTGTCCCCACAGAGCAGTTGAATGGGGAGATGGCGTTCACGCCGAAATCTGAAAGCAACACGAATGGAATTGAAACTGATGCTTACAGTAAATTCGACGTTTCCGCTATGTAAATAGCGCCGTAAAAGGGGTTTGTGACACGTAAGCAAAGGGATAAATGGGATTTGTTACACAAGTCAAAACATTGATTACACAACAGTCTCGTTTCCTGTTGACTGGGTTCCGTCCAATTGAGAAACTTAGTACAATAACCAGTCCATAATTTTGAGACCAATTCATTTAAGTGGATACATAAATATTAATCAGTATTTTTTTATACATCTAAGCACTTGTATATTGCAACACTACGCTCCTTCTAATCCTTGCAAACACGTCGTGCAGCGAGCTCTGACAAATGGAAATCGTGGAAATCTAAAAACAAGGCTCTGCCGCTAGAACAGTTTGGCGGTCTGGTACGGACTTGATGTTATATCAATCACATTGTGCGGTACAGAATTACTCTGAATAAGCACATAACAGGTGTAACCAGTGAGCCAGATGCATTGTCAATCATTTTACGACCTCATCAAACAGGGGCAGTCTGTGACGTCTTTGTTAAGGTCATGCTGCCTACACCTCGCCATAAAATATAGAAATACGATGTGTGAGTGTAAATAGCGGAGTAAATGGGATTTGTTACATAGTGTAAATAGCAGAGTAAATGGGATTTGTTACATAGTGTAAATAGCGGAGTAAATGGGATTTGTTACATAGTGTAAATAGCAGAGTAAATGGGATT